CAACACTTGGGAGGTAGAGACAGGAAGGAGATCTCTAAGCAATTTGGAATTGGCAGGCTCTGGGTTCAATGCCTTAATAAAATAGAGAGCAATTAAGGAAGACACCCAACATCACCTTTGGGCCTCCACACACATGCACACCCATACATGTGCACATACACCAACACAACATTGCAGTTAACACCGAGTTGAATTTTGACTGTTAGAAAATTTAACTATAAAATGATTATATAGGAGAAAATTTCTAATACTAGTGATAAAATTGGTCTTTGGTTTTGGCTTTCATAAAATAGTTTGTATTTAAAGCTGGATCAGTACAAGTGTGAGCACCCATATGTCCCATATGTGTGATACATAGGTGTCCTCTGTTAGAAGCTATTCCTAGAAGTAGTTTTTCTACTTTGAATCAGAATATGCCCCTCATACAAATGATTGGAATAAAATGATTCTGGAATTTGGAATCTACAGGTAATAGATTTTCTCTCCATGAAAATAGAAAAAAAAAAAAAGCAAACCCGAGATGATGACGTTTTCATCTATTTGAGCCCAATAAGTTGCAGTATGAAATATGGTGAAGTAGTTGGGTTTCATCATTAGTATGCCTACAGATTTTGCTTCCATTTAGATTTTTTATATTTAAAATTTTTGGTTTATTTTTATTTTATGTATATTTTTATTTTATGTGTATGTGTATTTTAGTGTTTTATCTGCATATATGTAGGTACACCCATGTATGCGGTGCCTGTAGAGGCCAGAAGAGAGTGTTGGATCCCCTGGAATTGGAGTTAAGGACAATTGTTAGCTGCCATGTGCATGCTGGGAACCAAAGCTGGGACCTCTGCAAGAGGAGCCAGTGCTCTTAATTGCTGATCCGTCTATCCAATACTAGATTTTATCTTAAAAGTAATTGGCATGATGAAATGAAAAGTGCTCATTGTATATAGAAAAACCATTGTACTGTAGAAAATCTCATAGGTAAATCATGTATTATTTTATTATCTCTACTGCTATACATAGCTAATGTATGTTTGTATAGTTAGAATAGACAGAACAACGCAGAAATGTTAAACATAGTGATTTCAAATAAGTTATTGCCATATTCTAGTTGTCTTCATTTTGAATACCTTGTCAAATTTACCAATAAAAGAAGTCTCTAAGGATATCCTAGCTAAAAACCTGTACAGCCATATTATTATTTAGATTTATAATAGTATTTAGGTCAGTGGGTTATAAGACAGCACATATTTTTCTATTTAATTATTTTCTATTTGGGGTGTGTATGTGTGTGTGTGTGCCTGCCTGTGGAGGCCAGAGGTTGACATTAAGTGTCTTCTTGATTGCTCATCACCCTTTTTACTGAGACAGAGTTTTTACTGAACCCAAAGCTCGGGTCTCCCTGTAGTCCCAGCTGTCCTGGAACTCACTATGTAGACCAGCCTGGCCTTGAACTCACAGAGATCCACCTGCCTCTGCCTCCCGAGTGCTGGGATTAAAGGCATGCACCACCACGCCTGGCCTCTACCTTTTTTTTTTTTTTTAACTTATTTAAACAGTATGTTTTCTTGTTTGTATTCAGATTCTTTTCAAGATTGTGTAGTAAATACTTTATATTAAAGAAAATCCATGTGATTAAAGAAAAAAAATTCTAACATATTTTAATCATCTATAAAATGGAGATAATTCCTGCTACAAAGACTGTAAACACTCTCACACATGGATCTTGGAGTTACAGTAAGGGACAATAATGGGCAGTTAGCATTATGATGATGCTTTCTCATAAAGCCAGTTGTGTAGGGGAGGTTCTAAACTCTAAGGATTCACAATAAAAATCTACTTTTTAATAAAATTTTTCAGTGGTATATATATATATGCTTTGAGATAGTTTTTAAAGATCTTTGCTCATCCAGCCTGTAACAACTAAAACAAAGTAGAGATTTAAATGTTCATAAATACCTTTAAATAATGTAAAGTGAAACATTAATTTGTACATTTTTAGAATTTTCTTTTGTAGCTTAAAATAGGCATTTTACCACAAACATAGTGAATTATGTCCATTCCCTAGCCCTGTGTAATCAATTAAAGAGCATTAAACTAGAAGAGTGGGAGGGAGGAAAGTTAGAATATCTTCTATTCTTTGGATGTAAATTCTGACTGGCACTTCATTTGAAGACGCCATGTTCTATGTTGTATAGTGTTTCTTCCAGAGGCCATATGGAAGAGACTAGATTCAGGAGTCTGACTTTTCAGTAACCAGTTGAAGAGACTGTTCCGTTTGTATAGTGATTGGCCAGTTTTACACAACGTTGATTAATGTAAATGAACAGTTTCTATCAACTGAACTCATTTTATGATTAGATGAATGTCACCCCATTTTATATGATGATTAAATATTTTGTAGTCGATACTCTAGAAAAGAAGTTTTAACTGTTGATCCTCTTGGAGGCTTCTTGCTGGGAAGGGGTTTAGAGTTTTATAAATGTCAATGAAATGTTTTCTGCACTTATCTCTTTCTCTTCGTCTACTGTATTCCTATAGTAATAGCATAAAATATGTATGACTGTCCTTAGTTTTCCTCAAATTAAATGTTTTATATAGCATATAAATTCCACAAAACTTCTTATAACTTGTTTATATCCAAGGTAGAACTAAGAAATCCGATTCTGCATTTCTCTCACACCTGCTTTTGTTTTCCATTGCTTCTTCACCTTAAAGGAAAAATAAATAACAAAATATTGTATAAGATGCTATGAAAGAAGCTGGGTGTGGTGGTGCATGCCTTTAATCCCAGAACTTGGGAGTCAGAGGCAGGCGGATCTCTCTGAGTTCAAGGCTAACCTGGTCTACATGCAAGTTTCAGGCCAGCTGGGGCTATAGGAAGACCTTGTCTCAAAAAAAATAAAATAAAAACAAAACAAAAAGATGTTATGAAAGAACTAGCCCTAACTCTGCCTTTCAGTTGCCGTGATCATGACTTTAGCCACATATCTGCAGTTACAATAATGACTTTGTCATTAGAGGGATGAAGATCTTGGCAGCATAACCAAAGACTAAGGAAAAAATATGTGTGGGCAAATGACAGCCCAGTGAATTCATTTAAGATCAGAGAATTGGGCAGATGCTGTAAAAGTCTCATTCTTGATGTTTTTTTCTTAAAGTTCTGTTACTTTATTAGAATGCTATTTTATAAAACACTGAATATAATACTGAAGTTTTGAAAATTGTGAGGAGTTATTAGCCTATGCCTGGGAGCTGTTTATATCCAGAACATAGTCAAAACAAAACAGAATAAAGTGATTTTGTATTTGACGTGTCAGCTCTCTATTTCACACCTTTATTTTCACATAAGAATTAAATGTATAGATCAGGATTTATCATGAGTTATAATTATGACATAGTGTAAGAATTTATATTTCTGAGTTTTCTCAGCTTATTCCTCGTCTCCTGGGGAATATTTTCTCCTTACTACTACAGTTCTTTGTTCAAATCTTACTTGTCCTCTCCTTGGCTACAAGCTAGAGCAGAGATTCTGTAAGGTTCTCTTTTAATAGGTGGTCCAACATCTTCAAGAGGAATGAAAAAAAAGGGGGGGGGTGTTTTCATTATGACATAAAGTCAAACGGTAAATCAGAAACTTGAGGAGGCCTGCACAGTGGTGCAGGTCCTGGGATCCACTCTTGGCTCTGTTTAAAAAGAGAGGAGATGCCTGAGTAGTTTGGCTTTTATTTTATAATTTGTTATTTTTTAAGAAATGTATTTTTGTTGTATCAGTCTTAGAACTAATACTAAGAAAAAGATTTATCACAGAAGAGTTTTCTTTCTACAAATACTAGCCAAAGTGTCAGGTATGTGATTGTGTATCTGTTTTTATTCCCTCTGTATTCTAATATTTTCTCAAGTTGTTAGTGGTCATAAAATGAAGTTTTAAAACTATTTAATTTTTTGTTTGACTATTTATGTACTCTTTTGTGGAGGGGCTTTGAATAGTCTATAGCATCTGTATCAAATTTCTGTGTTTATTTGCCATTTTGTTTCATTAATTAATTTAGAGTCAGTGTCTTACTAAGTAACCCTGGTGGCTTAGAACTCACTATGTAAATCAGGTTGGCCTCACACTTGGAATGATCCCCTTATCTTTGTTTCCTGAGTGTTGGGGTTGCAGATGTATCCATGCCCAGCTAAAAATGAATTGTTATTTTGTTTTGAGACAGGATCTCACTCTGTAGGCCTAGAGCTTACTATGGAGCCCAGGCTGGTCCTGAATGCTCAGAGCTCCTCTGCCTCAGCCTCCTGAGTACTGGAATTACAGGTGTGAACACCATGCCCAGCTTCATGTGCCATTTTTAAAAAGACGATATGTTCTGGACATTCCTTATAAATTCTTAAGATAAAATTACTGTTTATAATTAAGAAGTAACTTCCTCATAAGATTAGTTCAGAATAAAAGCTGAAATAGCACTAAAATGTTAAAACAGTTTTAGAAAGTATCAAAGCACTGTAACCATTGCCTGCCCCACAGTGCAGAGCATGATTCTTCTCTAGATTACAAACCTGAATTTGAAAGAACAGAAGGCATTCAATAGCATTTGAGTGCAGACCTTGTGCTGAACAACTTCATGCAGAGCCTTTCCATCTTAAATCTTCCTGTTTCTAAAGAAGCCAGTGTTAATTGTTCTTGATGCTCAAGCAATTGAAGAATATAGCATGACTATTCTATTAAATAAGGGTACCAGTTTATGATGTATGCCATTGCATGTTAATAGTTTTTGATTTCTTAATGGCTAGATACGGTTTTTAATATGTTTGATATCTCTCTAAATCTGAGGGAGTCATGTACACAAAGCTAGAATTTGATAGTGTTGCTTTGAACTGTAAATGAGAGTCCTAACATGCAAAAAGAATTACAACAAGGACAACCTAATTTAAGTTTTTTTAAGTTTTAGGAAATGTCATATTTTTCTGGTTTCAGAGACCTTTTCAAATGTTTTAAACACAATTTTCAGATAACAATAATGAAAAGCTGAGCCCCAAACCAGGGACAGGTGAACCAGTTTTAAGTTTGCACTACAGCACAGAAGGAACAACTACAAGCACAATAAAACTGAACTTTACAGATGAATGGTAAGTTCACATTTTTGTAAAGACATTCTTAGCCATTTTGTATTAGATACGCTTTTTCTTTGCAATCTTTGTTTTGTTTTGCTATAATGTATTAGTTTTCAGACTGTGTGCTTCAAAATTAATTGATGAGCTTGTTAAAACAGATAAAGGTCTGGGGAGACCTGGCTTATTCTCTGAGGATAAAAGCACTTGCTAACGCAAGCATGTGGAACTGATTTGGAACCTCTAGCACCCATATAAAAAACTGAGCATGGCTGTGCATGCCTGCTGGCTCCAGCATTGAGGGTGGAGACAGGTAGAGCCTATGAGCCAGCCAGCTTAGCCAAAGTGGCAAGCTTCAGTGAGACACTCTAGCTCAAGGTAATGAAGTAGAGAATTTCCACAAGCACATGAACAGCTGTGCATGCATACAATATATGGTGCTCGCAGGCATACAGAAATAGAAACAAAAAAACAGATTAATGGACCCTACCTGCAGAATTAAGTTTGCCTGAAGATTTGCATTTCTAAAAGCTTACCAGATAATGTTTCTCATTTAGATATTTGTTCTAATAAAAAATACAAGCAGTAATAACCACTCACAGAGCATTAGTTTAAAATTTTTCAGTCTTGGTTCTATGCATATGTATATGCATGATTTTTGTTTTATTTTAGTTCATAGTTTTAATACTGAATATACTCCATTCTCTGCATTTGTTTAATTTTATAAACATATTACTTTAGCTACTTCTATTATTTTACTAGTTCATCCAGTGGGTATGTTATAGGTTACATAATCATTTCTCTTTAATTGGGAAGTAGATTTATTTATGTTTTTTTTTAACCCAATGAGGTTGTAATGAATGTCTTTGTTTATAAAGCTTTTCCTACTTTCAGCCTTATTTCTGTGAGGTATATTTCCAAAAACGAACAATATTTAGATCAAAAGGTACTGCCAAGTTATTGTCAAAGGCCTTCTCTTTTTATATTTCTGTTAGTGTATGAATGAACATACTGTTTGTCTTCTATTCAGTGCATTCATTTATTTTTGACTCATATATGATTTTAAAATAATTTCACCTGTCAATTTATCACGAGTAAGGCTGAACTTTTATACTCATTTAATGGTTGTATAAGTGTCTTTAATGACATTTCTGATTGTATTTACTTCTTAATCTAGTTGATTTTTACATTTGAAAAAGCGATTTATGTAAATATTTGATAATCTTGCCCACTATCTTTGTACAGGCCTTTTGATTGAGACATTATGCAGAATTTTTGTTTAGATTTGTTTAATTACTAATTTATGAATGTTTGTTGACAATATGGTATTTAACATATAGTTATGTGCTGACATAATTATATAATACGTTATATAATTATTGTGTCAATTATCTGTAATCATTTGTAATTACAGTTAATATAAAATTTATGTTAGTATGTTATCACATATTGTTACTATAATATAAAGTGCATTGTGTCTAAATAATTATGTTACATTATTTATTAATACATAATTATGTTACATGATATCAACTTTATTCAATTCAGTAGCTTCCATTTTATGTTTGTATATATTTCATTGTAAAGTCTTTGATTAAATAGAATTTCAAATACTATTGAATACCTTCTATGTTGCAGGGACTATTCTAGACACTGGAAATGCATCAGTGAAAAAATAGACAAAAAAAAATATGTGCCCTGCTGAAGCTTACATTCTAGGTGGAGGAGACAGGCAATAAACATAATAAATAAGTATACTGTATAGGCTATATAGACAGTACTAAGTACTGTGGAAGAAAATAGAACAGGTAAGGATAATTAGGAAACCAAAGCAAGGGTTAGTCATCATTAGGAAGGTTTTTGGGCAAAACCTTGAAGAGTAAGCCAATCATATATGTAGGGAAGAGCATTTTAGGCAGAGAAAAGTCCTATATGTTCAGGGATCTTTAAGGAGACCTGTGTAGCTGAAATGGAGTGACCAAAGGAAAGATGAGTGACAGATAAGGTCAGCCAGGAAAGTGAGAAGGATGTTTAAAAACATAGAAGTTATTTTTGGTTCCTGTGTTCACGTTGTGCCATAGGGAGAAGTCAGAAGATCAGTGAAAAGGTTGTTGCAGTAAACAGAATAAAAGGTAGTCATGGGGACGGTGGGAGCAGCAGAGGTCATAAGGATAATTGGATTCTAGATACTGTATTTGAAGGTTCAGTCAATAGAATTTCATTATGAACCCAGGTATTTTAACATAGCATTTAAAAATCATGTTATATGTGGCCCTGTTCCTTAATACGCAGTTTAACAAAAGATTGTCATTTATCATTTATGACCTGTCTTTTCTCTTGTTTCTGCACAAAACAGACAACCTTCTTAACGCTATCAGAACATTTTTAAGAAAAAATTTTATTTTTTTTAATGTTTTTCACTAAAAAATGACCATAAATTGTCATTCATCAGTTTCTTTGTCAATAATTATCATTTTTATCTTGACAACATTCAATATTTATTGTTAAAAATAAAATAGAGCATCCAAAAAGAGATGCATCTTTTCTTTATTTCAGTATTGTATCTTGCTTTTTAGTTTTTTTAATGACAAATGAGGCAATCTAGCACATTTTGAGGTTGGACTCTAAAACGACAACCTGAGGAATCTAAATTCCAGTTTTCTAACATGGAAATGGGCACTTTTAAAAGAAACAATTTCTGAAGTAAATGGGATTTTGCAGAGAAAGTATCTTAAACTTAGCATGTTGTCACATGGTAAGTCCCACATAGTTGTTGGGTATAATGTTCATTTTTAAGTACATTATTGTCCAGTTTTCTACTATGATGTTTATCTTATTAATTTATGAGCACAATTATAGAATTAGGCAAAGATAATCTTTTTTACATTTGTTGCAAATATTTTTCCAGGTTTGGTGTTTGTTCTTCAGTTTACTGTGGTAACTTTGCTTTATGGCTTCTGCCTGTAATCTTCATACTTAGAAAAGCCTTGCCCTTCCCAGAGTTAGGGAAAATCTTTTCTTGTCTAACTTGTATGTTTTCTATAGTTTTATAGTAAAGGTTGCCTACTTATAATTCCATAATTACTGTGAAGTATGATGCTTAGTTACAGAATCAGCTTTCTACATGGCTGTTCTTTGTCCCACTACCATCATGTGCACTCTTCTCATTTCTCTGTGATTGAAAGTGCCATATTAACTAAGCTAAGCATGTTTACTTGAATAGTGTGTCTTTTCCACTAGTGACTCTTTTCCCATGTCAGTACCATCATATTAGTCATCATAACTGCTGTTCACTAAGTATTTTATTTATGTCTCTGTCAGCTTTCTCAATGAGAGAAAAAAAATGCTTTTGTATCATACTTGGTTTTCTTTAACAAAATGGCTGTATTTCCTTCTGGTTAAGAAATATGTGTTCGTTACAAAATTTAGCATAAAATGTGTAACTGATGCAGCCCTATTTAGCTGACACTTAAGGCTGGTTCATAACCCTCCTAACATTTTTCTCTGTGTATACACTCATGTAGATATGTATACATTATTGTTTAGAATAATGTTTTATTATTTATATGTTTTAAAAATATGAAATTGACTCCTATATAATTCGCTGAGAGTGATTTAATAAAATCTTGGTCCAAGAGTTCCTGTTATTTTTCCCTTTTTATTGAGTCATTACTATTAATCTGTAATTAACAGCTTTTATGGTACTATATCTCTTGTTTTTTTTCTTGTTCATATTTATTCTAAACTTAAGGAATTACTACATTTTGATTCTAACATAGTTTCTTTTACATTTATCTTATTTTGTGCATGGTGTACACACTGTGGCACCCACCACAGCACGTATGTAGAAGTCACAGGATCACTGGTAGGAGTGGTTCTCTCTTTCCATCATGTAGGTTCCAGGAATCAAACTCAGGTCATCAAGCTTGGCAACAGGTACCTTTACCCACTGAACTGTCTTGCTAGCCCTGAATTGAATTTTAATATCAGATTGTTACATGTTTTCCACTTCTCAGTTCCTTCCTTATATATTTCCATGGTTTGTCACAGAATCCTTACCAAAATTTATTTATTTAAATTGGCTTACTATTCTTCTGTATCCAGAAATGCTACTGGGAGTGTGGTCATCATCAGGAAAGTATTAAAACTAAAATAGAAAATACTACCTCTTTCTACAAAACTGTAATGCTCAGAAAAAGAGGTGTCATATTTGAACAGCAAACCAGAACTGGAAGTGTTAGATCGGGGGCAGTTCAAAAAACTGAAGAAATGGCTTCCATTCAGTATTAATTTAAAAACAGCCTGGGGGGCTTGAGAGATGGCTCAGTGGTTAAAAGCATTGGCTGTTCTTGCAGAGGACCTGGATTCATTTCCCAGCACCCACATGGCATCCCACAACTGCCTGTAATTCCAGTTCCAGGGGATTCAGAGTCCTCTTCTGACTTCCAAGTACAGCAGATTCACACTTACATGCAGACAAAACACTCATACACATAAAAAATAAATAATATGTGTTTTAAAAAGTTAAAAATAGCAATGTAGAGTAATATTGCCTAGAAAGGGATATGATCAAATTCTATTAAACCATTAATAATTTCACACACACACACACACACACGCACATGCACACACACAGAGTTTCATTAAAGAGACATGTAAAGATGCGTACTGGAAAACAGAAATACCAATATAGTGAACAAAATATCCTCACTGAAAATTTTTTAAAGATGCACGTGAGAAGTCTTGATTTCGGGTTTTTTTGGGGGGGTTTTTTGGTCTTTTTGAGACTGGGTTTCCCTGTAGCCCCAGCTGTCCTGGATTCACTCTGGAGACCAGGCTGGCTTTGAACTCACAGAGATCCCCCTGCCTCTGCCTCCCGAGTGCTGGGATTAAAGGTGTGTACCACCACGCCCGGCTCTTGATTTCATTTTTTAAAAAATGGTTTTTGCAAGTACTATTAAAATTAATCTTGTGTTTATGTTCTGAATTTTCTGATATACTTGTAGTTGTAAAATATAAAAAGTACCCTGGAATTCATATTTATTAACTTTTGGTGGAACAACTTCTCTTCTTGTGATACTAGGAGCAGTACAGCCTCGAGCTCTAGAGGAAACAGCAGCCATTGCAAATCTGAGGATCAGGGAGAATACCTGGTCCCACAGAGCTCTGTGCAGTCACCAGGAGGAGGCAGTGAAACTAGTAAGTTGTTACTGTGCTTGTTTCCATTCCCTCTAGTGCTTCAGGTTTTGTTCTTGTTAATAAATTACTTTTATCATTGTCCTCCAGCTATTACATTGTTAAATAGCAAATTGAAAAGTTCAGGGGGCCTTAAGCACTTACAATGGGGAGATATATTGAATCACAATCCCATCTCTAGATCCCGTTACCAGATTAGGTAGTCAGGATCCTGTAAGCATGTGAGATGCTGAACTGTCTTTGTTAGGTTTATATGTAGCAGAGAAATCTAAATTACTCTCTTGATTCTTCAAAGAGTATAGGTGGTTTGACAACAAGCAATAAAATCTAAACATGTTTTGAATGGTTCAGTTTCCTTCATAAAATGCTATTTAGGGAATATTTCAGACTCCTTTCCCTAGTAGAGTATTTTTATATTACTATGTAAATACAGTAGATGTTCAGTATGTGTTTGATAAATGAAAAAATAAAATCTGTTTCTTAGGAAATGAATAAGGACCTCATTGTAACAGAGTGAATTAAATATGTGTATGATAACTGTCTGATAAGCTCACATCCAGTAGAGCAAAGACTGATCCTCCACAGGTCTTAGAGTCAAATTAAGTACATTAAGTGGTCAAGGAAGAATTTATGGCAGGGTCAACTTTTCTACTTGTTCATAATAGTTCATATTACACCAATGTATGATAAAGGGCATAAAGATAATCAGTCTTTTTTGTAATGTTTTATTTATTACTTTTATGTGTGAGTTTACGGCCTGCATGTATGTAAGTGTACCCGTGTCATACAGTGCTCTCAGAAGTCAGAAAAGGATGTTGGATCCCTCGAACTGGAGTTATGAACAGTTGTTAAATGCCATGAAGGTGCTGAGAACCAAACCCTGGTCCTCTGCAGGAGCAGCCAGTGCTCTTAACTGCTAAGCCATCTCTCCAGCCCCAAGATAATCAGTCTTAATTAAGTTTGATTTTTGAGAAAGTTAGGAAAAAATGTGCTATCAAGTAATGGCAGCTGAGGAAGCTAGTCAAGAGTAGAGATTCTGCACATATAAGTTCATGAAAGTGAAGGCCTTGGGAAGAGGTGTTGGGTTCATCTATCAATGATACTATTAATGCAATTTTATGTGCTAACATGTTTATATTGCGCTAGAGTGAAATTTTATTTTAAATTTATTATTGGGAGGGGCCATGATGTGTGGTAGGTGGCATGTGTGTGGAGGCCAGAGGTCAACTTTATGAAGTCAGTTCTGTCCTTCACCTTTACGTGGGTTCCAAGTATCAAACTCAGGTCTCCAAGCTTGCATAACAAGCACCTTTACCTGCTGAGCCAACTTGTCCAGCTGTGGAGTGAAATTTTATTTGAATGTCAAAGGTTTCTATAACCCAGAAAGAATTAAGAGCCACTTATCTGTAGGCAAGTTAGAATGTTAAATTCACATGCATTTTTTTAAATTGGATTTGATGATACTTTGGTTTATTTCCAGTAGCTCCTGAAGAACCGTCTGAGGAGAGTTCATCTGCAGAAAATCCAGTTCAAAACCAGATAGATAGAGGTGAGTTGTCTTGCTTTCTTGGGAAAAGTAGTTTGCATGTGAAAATAAACAATTTTCACAAATCTCTCCAGAGGTAAAGGTCTCTTTCAAATTAATGTGCTGTGCCATTTATTTTCCTTTCAAAAGGGAGTTAGGCTTTCTATTAGAAAATGTCTGTCAGCTTACAAGTTAGGTTAAATAAGTAATAACATACACATGGCTAACTGTTACATTCTACTTTATTTTCTGACAGCACAATTAGATAATTTCACAGCTGAGCCATTGGAGTCTAACCCAGGAGAAAAGAATGACTCCAGTCTTGATAGCCCTTGTGGGGTTCCAGCAGAATCCACCTTGTCCGAACAAAGCAAGGAAAATTCAGATCAGACTAGCAATGAGAATGCTTCCAATCAGACTAGCACCAATCCTGAGCTCCCATGCCAAACAGAAGCCATCGGGCCTTTAGCTCATGAGGAAACATCAGCCAGGGACTCTGCTCTCCAGGACACAGATGATAGTGACGACGACCCAGTCCTGATTCCAGGTGCAAGATACCGAACAGGACCTGGTGATAGGTTGGTATATTTTTAATTAGTATAGACTGTATAAAATATTTCACGAGGGTTTGTTTGAAATCAAATGAGAGTGTATATTTTTAACACTTGCTTCATGTAAAGGTGTCTCAGTCATAGAAACCCATAGAAGTTTTAAACTGTAAATGATTTCACCTATTGCATTCTTTGAGCAAATTATAGGAAAAGTGAGCAAAAAGTATCTTTGCTCAGTATCTTTGTCACTAAGGTTTTCTCCTCAATTTACAGATCAAGAGAAAGAAATGCCAAGAATGATCACCAGGTTGTTTGTGAAGTCAAGGTTCAATTTAGTTATCAGATGCTGTGTGGCTTTTTTGGTCTTCTTTTTCTTTTAATGTTCTTTTTTTCTCCTTTTTTTGTCCCTGATATTGATAGTAGCTCTCTTTTTGAGAATAGTATGTTTTTCTCTGATTTCTAATAAATGAAATTATTCAGTTAGAAAGCAATGGATAGGCTGTGTGTTTTGATGCACGCCTTTAATCCCAGCACTCGGGAGGCAGAGGCAGGAGGATCTCTGTGAGTTCAAGGCCAGCCTGGTCTACATAGTGAGTTCCAGGACAGCTGGGGCTACAGGGAGACCCTGTCTCAAAAAGACCAAATAAATAAATAAATAAATTTGTCATTTTTTAAAAAAAAGAAAGCAGTGGATAATAAATAATATACAACAAAGATTTGAATTGCTAACATATTCATACTATTTTTCTATCTTTTCAGTTTATATGATCAGAAGGACACTTTTTATTTTAAGTGATAGAATATCACAAGCTTATAATTCCAGCTACTCAGAAGGCTACATCATGGGAATCTCAAGTTCAAGGCTTTCCTGAGCAACTTAGTGAGACTTGTCTCAAATAGTAAAAGGAAAGGGGTAGGGATAGAACTCACTTACTTACTTAGCGTATGGGAGATCCTAGTGTGCTGGATAGCTTTAGCTGTCAACTGGGTAGAGGGAGCCTCAATTGATGAATTGCCTCCATCAGACTGGCCTGTGGCCATGTCTGTGGGACATCTTCTTGATTATTGAGTGATGTGGGAGGTCCTAGTCCACCATGGGTGGTGCCACCCCGGGCAGGTAGGCCTATGTTTGTAAGAAAGCAGGTTTGTGACCTGGGAAATGTAAGTTCAATAAACCCTTTCCTCCCCAAGTTGGTATTGGTCAGAGTGTTTTTTTGCAGCAATGAAGAAACAAACTAGAACACCTAGCTTCAATTTCTAGTACCACAGGAAAGGAAAGTATAGAAATATGTATATGTTGCACTCAACATGCATAAAAAACTATTTGTATAATTAGTGCTATCGAGATTTTTTTTTTTTTTGGTCTTTTTCCCTGTAGTCACGGCTTGGATTCACTATGAAGACCAGGCCCCAAACTCACAGAGACCTGCCTGCCTCTGCCTCCCCAGTGCTGGGACTAAAGGTGTGTACCACCACACCTGGCTTATCACGTGTCATTGTATGTATATTCTTATTCCTGAAAATCCAGTTTTTTCTTTAAAAATAAATCCTAGTTCACAAGAAGTAAAGTTTTATTTGGACCATTTCACGTATTTATTGTTGATTATACTACTGTTTATAAAACACTAAATTGACATTTCTGATATATAATTAACAATATTATATGCTGCATATAATAAAATTAATGTCCAATAAAATGTCACAATGAGCCAGGGTGTGGTGGAGCATGCCTCTAATTGTAGCACTTAGGAAGCAGAGGCAGATGGATTTCTGTAAATTCTAGGCCAGTCTGGTCTACACAGCAAATTCCAAGGCAGCCAGGGCTACAGAGTAAGACCCTGCTTCAAGAAAAGAAAAAGAAACAAAAAGGCAATGCTAGCCAGACATGATGGCTCATATCTATAATCCCAGTACTTGGAAGGCTGAGGCAGGAGGATTGATGTGAGTTTAAGGCTACCTACTTCTGAAAAACAGTTACAGTTAAAATAACTCCGTAATTCTGTACCAGCAATCATGCATTCCTATAATCTTACCTACTTGGGAAGCTGTGGCATTGTTCTTAAATATGAAGCATAGAATCTTTCCTTATATTTGTACTTGGGATTAATAAAACACCTTCCATCTGTTAGTCATCAGCCTTCAGAGTTTTTGTTTCTTTGGTTGGTTTCTTGAGAAAGGGTGTTACTGTTTGTTCAGACAGGCTTTGTAACTTGGCTGACCTTGAGTTCATGATCTTTCTTCCTCACTCTCCTAAGTGCTGAGACTATGGTCATTCTCCACCAACCCCTGATTAAGCAAGACTTAGTTCCATTTTTTTCTATAGCCAGAAGGGAGTTCCTTAGAAGGTCATTACTACTTAATGTAAAGGTAACAAGCATAGCACATATTGAGATGCAAACAGTTTCCAAACACTACCATTTTCATATTTAGATGATTTCTATGTTAAGGATTCTCCTAGGGTTTGTTCTGTCACAAAGTTGACTCCTGATAGTTTGAATGTCCTCGGAAACTCAGGTGATGAACTAGATTAGCTAAATCTTTAGAAGACTGATAATTATGGATACCAGCATAGACCTGCCACCTCTTCACATGTATGCTTCAGTTCAACTGTTATGATTAGATCCAGATTTGAAGCTACTTTGGATCTGTATTTGCTTCCCTAGTTTGTTAGACTAAATATCATTTAATATTCTATATATCGAGTTTGTATTTTTAGCCTTAATTTGGTCTGTGTATTATTTTACTTTATATAGAAGTAAATTTACAGAATAATAATAGTTACAATAAAATAATTAATTTTTAAGAAACTTAAGGACCTCTAGAGATGGCTCAGCAGCTAAGAGCACTGGCTGTTTTTCCAGAAGTCCTGGGTTTCATTCCCAGCACCCACATGACAGCTAACAGCCATCAGAAACCCCAGTTCCAGGGGATCTAACACCCTCTTCTGGCTTCTGTGGGCATTGGATGACATGTATATTTACATACATGCAGGCAAAACACTCATACACATAAATTAAGTAAAAACAAAGAAACGAGAAAAAAGTACAGAGACAGTTTAAAACTTAGAAAATAAGATCTGAGGGGACTAAAGAGATGGCTCAGCAATTAAGAATACTGGCTGCTCTTACAGGGACCAGGTTCAGTTGCCAGCACCCAATGGCAGCTAACAACCATTGATAACTCCAGTTCCAGGGGATCCAGCACCCTCTTCTGACCTCTGTGGTCATTGTCTGACATGGGTGCACTTGTACACATGCAGGCAATACACTCATACCCATAAAATAAAAATAATAAATAAAAGAAGATCTGAGACTAAATAAAATGGCATATATATAAATACACAACCCACTGAAGTGATGCTAGTGTGATGGTAGTACTCAGTCTTATATCAGTTTACTCTGGGATTTGTTTTATCCCAGCACTTTTTTTTTTTTTTTTTTTTTTTTTTTCCATGAAGTTTTACTTTGTAGTTTAGAAGGCCTTGAATTGGAAATAATTCTCTTGCCTCAGCCTCTGGATTGCTTGGATTACAGTCATAAGCCACCACATCTAGCCTCTGCTAGCTCTTTACCAAAAGTTTGTAAATGGTAAAGCAAAAAAAAATCTTCCTCTGATCTTTCTGTAGTTTCTAGCTTCCTTGGCATCATTCTCTATTTAATTTGAACTCCCTATATACAGACCACTTTTGATGTTTCTGCCCTTTTCTAAGAGCTCTTCATCCTTGATACTACTGCCAGTTTCTCTTCTAAGTGGAGTACGCTACACTCCCTGTGGCCTCAGACCTAGTATCTGAAGAGACTAAGGGTTTTGGCACTCTTCTGTGAAAATCAGAACATTTGGTTCTCGGAGTCTAAGGACAGACAATGCATGTCTCTGAGGTCATTCTGCTGTCATTTGACCACTCCAGGCTCAGTCTAGAAGTCCAACAGGGTAGGTTCTTGTTGCCATTTGAAAAGCCCATTCAATTTAGCTTAGTTTAGTTATGGTAGAGAAATGATCTCCATAGTATGATTAAAGTATAAGTTTGTCTGTATTTTAATTATCTTAAAAACTCTGTATCTCACAATTTTTTCCTCAAGTTTTACTTTCTATTTTTTTTTTACATTTACATTTTAAAATGGAACTTGAAAGCATCATATAGTTAAGCCATTTCACACACATTTAATTTTAAATACCAGAACAGTTTCTTGCAGGGCAGAATAATGATTTATTTAATAAAACTATTTGCATTCTTTTTGCTTGTTTGTTTTTGAGACAGAGATGGCTTCGTGTAGCCCAGGTTGACCATGAACTTGCTGTGTACTTGAGGGTGGCCTTTAACCTTTTCACCTTCCTGCTTCTACCTTCCAAGTATGGGATTACAAGCATGGCCACCACACTTCGCTATTTGAGTTCTTGTGATTTGGTTAAATATTAAGCAGATTTACACTTTGAGGCTGAAATCAAGCATGAGAAGGCAATGCCTTAGAGAATAAAGGCCTTAACAACTAACATAGTTATTTTTAAATGTGGAGTGCTCTTCTCATTAACTGTAGCAAGCCTATAGAAATACAACTGGGACACTCTGTAGCAGAGATCAGCAGACTTTTTTTTCCCTAAAGAGCCCGAAAATAAATATTTTAGGCTTTACTGGCCAAGAGGGAAAATGGAGGCTATTATATAGGTACTTACATAACTATTTAAAAAATATAAAAACTGTCCTCGGCTTAAAGGTCATAATAAAACAGCTGACCAAGATTTAACCTAAAAGCCACTGTACTGATGCCTGCTTTATAATAAATCAATCTTATAGCAAGAACCAAGTTATATCTATTATAAACTGTCTTTACTTGCAGAAATCCAAAATTTTAAAAAAATGGATGAGTCAACACATTTAGGTCTTCTTTGTCTAGTATATATACATAAAATATTAAATGGAAAATAAATTGATTTTAAAAAATCTTATTTTCTCTATGCATCACATTAAAAACAAGTAAAATTGCCAGGCGTGGTAGCACACACCTTTAATCCCAGCACTTGGGAGGCAG